CTGAGAAGCTGCCTAGTGGTGCTGGCACATGTGAGAATGGAGAAATTGGATGGGGTAATCCCTGGCAGAAGAAGAATGATGATGAGTTCTGAGCTTCCCAGAACAAAACCCACATTGGTTTTGAGCCAATCAAGACAGAAAACAAATTATTTACTAGGGGTCCCTCACTCATTACTATTACTATTAAATCGTCAATGTTCTGATGAGCATGGCACACCCAGAATCCTGTCCTCACGCACTTGCCTTCACTTCCATTTAAAAAGAGAGAGAGAGAGACTATTCAAAAAGTCAGCAGCAAGAGATTGGGGCCGGAAGAAACCTCACTCCTCTAATTTTCACAGCCCTCACTAGTGAGATGCCTTATAGACACTTTCAACAGAAAAGTACACAATAGTTTTCTCTTAATCATTCAGGTAGTATAGTTATAACATCATGCGTGGATCCCACAAAACACCAATTAATCAATAATATCAATCTTCCTCCTCAATGTTTTCCTGGAGCTGCTGACAAGCAGAAAAACCAATTGAGTTCATTTTTACAGGCACATCCTGTCTAGGAGAGCACTAATAGGTGGTATAAGGGAGAAAAAGGAGATGCTGTACATTCAAATGAGCCAGCCCTTAGTACTGCCATGGTTTGCACTCATGACCTGGATTAAACCACTCTGTCTGCACATAAAAACTGTACGGTTCAAATCCAGACTCAGTCACAGAGTAACCATATGAACATTGATAAATTACTAAACATTTTCTGTGTCTCAGTTTTGTTGCCTTTAAAATAACGACCATCAAATCACATAGTTCAGAGAGATGATGTGTGTCTAACTAAGGAAATATATGCGAAGCACTCAGCATAGTGACTGACACATGGTCAAGTGTTCAGTAAGTATTCATCCCTATTATTATTTTTATTTGTCTCTGATGACAAAAGGCATGCAATGGAGGTCACAAGACATGCTAGGAATGTCAATCTTGCATTGACCAAAACCACTGGGTTACACCTGGATGGGTAGTATTCAGTATAACTTTGTGGCAACACAAATTTGGATAGAATTCAATCAGCAGTTGGCTTCTGCCTTCCACCAGCCCTTATTTTCACATGTGGGATGGGCCAAATTTATAGTCTTCCAAAGTGGGAGGGGTGTTAGAAAGTGACAGCCCCGAGATAGTTGGGGTTCAATTCAGTGTGTGGTTATGTGGTTTTAATGACATTTTCTGCCACTTCAGAAATGTTGTTTTTCATTAACTTCATAAAAATGCAACTCCTGGTTTGGCAGGACTGAATTTTTGGAGTCCACTTATCTCATTATGGCAGGATTTTACTGTTCTTGAAAAGTCGTCAGTTCCACAGTCATTAGGAATGCTCACCTGTACTTTCAGGGGTATAAACGCGTTAAAAGGAGACAAAATTAACTCACTGCACATTACAGCTTGGCTTAGTCTAAAAGCATTTTGGAGAGTTTTGTTTTGTTTTCCTTTGCTCCTACCCATGATATTTTGGCTTGAAGTTTGCCTTCTGACAAGCTATTGCATGTAGAGATTGTAAGAGGCTGGAATTAATTCAAACATGGGGCCTCAGCCCATTTTCCCCCCAGGTGAATGAGCAGCATCAGGCCCTGCCTGGCAGGCTTTGGAAGGTGCCTTTACCTGGAACTTATTATATGCAAAGGCTAGTTACCTAAGCTGTTGATGGCAGCACAGAAGAGAGTAAGTGAGAGCAGATGATGCCAAAACGAAGCGTTTGCTCTGGGTTGGGGTTTGCCATGCAGTGAAGGGACTGCAGCAGCTTCCTTACCCCAACCCAGACCTCTCCAGAAGTCCATCCATCAAAACACAAGGGTGGGAATCCTTTGAGTGGCTAACGAAGTTTGGTCCGAATGACTTAGCAGTCCTACAGACCTGTCCGGCTGTTCTGGGAGCAGAATGTGCCCACAAGATGACAACTCCCGTTCTCACCACAGCTGAGTTTCAGCTGGGGTGTAGTCTGAAGTTTCATCTTCATCTCTCTGTTGCCCAACTAGCGCTGAAGAAGTCACAGTTTCCCAGAAAGGATTTTTAACGCTTATACGCAGGACCTGATTCTTATGGTACTACCACTACAGTGACTCATGCGGGATTCGTCAGACAGAGGCAGCGTTCTGCATTGAATGCTAATATGTAGGGTAACTCTGATACATACATTGGAATGTATCTCTCCCTCCTATCTCTTGATTGCACGACACAGAGAAGAGGTGTTTATACTGATATCTAATTTTTAGCCTACGTTTGCAAGATCTAAGTAACACAACATGAGAAATTAGTACTGGATACTAGATGTAAAACATGTGAGGCCTTCATGGACATGGACAACAGTGTGGTGATTGCTAGGGAGAGGGGTGTATAAGGGAACTAAATGAATGGGGGAAAAATACAATAAAGACTAAATCCAAAAAATTTAAAGAAGAAAAAAATGTGAATCCTTGAGCTTAAAACCAGATTCTGGAGCCCAGGTTCGAATCCTGACATCACCACGTACTAACGATGCCGTCTTGGTCAAGTTACTTGACCTCTGCGCACACCGGTGCTTTCACTAGTGAAGTGAATGACATTGCCATGACCTCCCCAAGTGCCAGGGCACACAGTATAAGATCCAGGTATGCCTATGACTTTCATCTTTTGGTATCATAGATGTGAGAAACAAAGAAAAATAACAACGACAAAAAGAATAAAAATATCTAAATCCAAATTGTCATTTTCAAGTTATTCTCTCTACTACAAGAGAAAAGAAAAGGTAGCTTTATCTACAGTAGTTTTAAGTTCTCAAAATTACTCTACAAAATAGCACCTTCGAATATAAAATTGCATTTTACACTGTATTGATTATAGGATGAATTGAATTCTTGGGCATAATTTGTATTTGGCTCTTTGTATAAGAGGGTAAGCTACTTTATAAATCTCCTGGACAAAGAATAAGAAAAGGTAGTTTCCAAAACCCTTCTCTCCTATCCTACATGATTGAATTTTGGCAAATTACACACTCCTTGGGTCCCTGTGTTCTCATCTATAAAGTGATAGAGTCCCTTCTAGTTCTAATAACAAGCTAGTAAACTATTTTTTAGATTGAGTCTGACAAGATCTCAGAAAAACTGAGTGAGAAACTGGTGAGAATATTTTCAATGTTTGAACTTTCCCATAATTTGATCTCTCCTACCCATAAACAGACATATAACTGTCTCATAGCTAATTATTATTGGAGTATGATAATGGACCATAGTAAAAATTGGTATTTTATATCAATTATTATTGGGATATTTATATTTAGTGTACTAAAACTTCTTGGTATCTTTTAGTTATTGTATTTTTGCAGATATTTTTAGATTAGGTCTATGATGCATTTGTCACAATTTTTCTAATTTCTTCTTTGCAATTTAATGGAATTGTAAGAGCTTTTCATCATTTTCTCTTTGAATCTTTAAATCCTATCAGGTCTTGCCAATTAGATCAAGATTATTCACTCACACACCTTAGATTTCTCTCTTGGAAGTTTTATAAGAGAAACTTTATATAACTGAAAATCTTTAAAAGCAAGAAATGGTGGAAATAAGTTGAGGAAAGGGGCCAAAAATTCCTTCTCTCCCTATCATTAGCAAATAATAATTAGCACCTTAAACCAGAAGAATTTGGAGTATTTGTCCTTATGTAATGAATGCATCATTTCTAAGTCTGTGCTGTCCATGCTAAGACTATGCTGAGTCTGTACTTAAGATATGCAAGAACATTAATTCTAACAATGGAATTAATTTGCTTTAAAAAGCTAATATGTACACAATATAAAGAGAACAAAATTATGCTGTTTTCATAAACAACCTAATAAAATCTCACCAACAATTCTACATAATTACCTCTGCAAAAGTCCTTTAGGAATCAGAAGGTCCTCTTCAAATAAAAGGAGTTGTTTATTCTAGCATCAAGGGTTTAAATGTGTCAGTCACACTAACTGAATTGATATATGTATATTTTTGAAGTATTCTATTGTGTACGATTTAAGTAGATTCCACCATGGCTCTCATCTTATTCTTTAGGACTGAGTGGCTGAAAAGGACTGTGTTTTTTAAAATGCCACTAGCTCATTATTCTGTTTACAAATAATTCAGCACAGTATTCCTTATATAACAAATGGCCAAAATTTATCGGAAATACAGAAATTAGATTAACGAGAAACTTTAGAAGATGAATTTTGTGAAACATGAAGCATCTCACCTGACTTTTACTTAAGTAAATTACTTAAGTAAAATATAAGTATTTCTAATTAAAATACTTAAGTATTTCTACTAAGAAACCTAGCTCCTAAGTTTAAGAACAAAAGCAAAAACAACAATGGTCAAATCATTGGCATTAAAAAAATCACCCTCCTCAGTTCTGAGGGCTTGTCTGAGCCTTTTCTGCATTTTCCTTCTAGAGCCAAAAGCAAATAATGAACAGCGTTGGGCATTATGCCCAATTTATAACTTGGCAATGACTAAATGTAACTGAAAGAGCAGTAATCGGAAACCAATCCTCTCTTCAGCTGTGTCGATACATTGGCACCGCGCCAGTATCTGCCCTGAAGTGAGTTAAGAAGATTTTTGTTGTAGAACCTTGGTTTCATTTATTCAGTTGATCAAACAAGTCTATGTTTTCTGCTACAACACAAAAGTAAAGGAAGACCCAACTGAGATTCCTGCTTGCCTATGTCGTACACACCATGGTGAGATTTATGAGATAAATAATGAATGAGTCAAAATTTCAGAGACAAAGCATGGCTCCTATATGCTTTGTATTTTCCTACATAAATATTACAGGCTTATCTTTCTAATGAATTTAAAAAAACTGAAGAAAAACATACTAAGTATTTTTACAAATGCTTTCAAAAGGAAACACTATTCAAAAAACAAATTTTATAATGAAACATTAAAGTACTATCCAAATAAACTTTAACTCGAATTCAAAAGTTAGGGAAACAAATAAATCTTATTTACTTACAAGTTGGTTTTGCTTTTGGAGGAAATTTGGTCCGGGTAATAGCCAAAATTATGAAAATAATGACTGGCCATAAAATCAAGACAAGTGTCCACAGCTGCAGAATAATGACAGGAAAAAAATATTAATTATACTGCTGAACCAAAAAAAAACCCAACATGAAATACATCATACTATAAAATTCCAACACAAGACAGGTATTTGCCTATAAACATTATTAATAAAAAGGAATGAGATATTTTTTAAATGAAAGAGAACTAGAAATGAACACAAGATTTTTTTTTCCAGGCTTAAACCCTTAAAATGACTTTCTGAAGACCCCTTTCCAGTTTCCTCTCATGACTGCCCCTGGAGCAATGCTTGTAAAATTCTAATCTAATTAGTAAGCTCCTCACATAAAATCCCCATTTCTCAGTTGCTTGCTGGATGAGGCTCAGCCTTCTGAACAGGGCCTGCAACACCCACACAACTGCCCCCTACACCAGTCTTACAGTTTCCAAAGTCACCATTTTACGGTCAGCTGGAAAGATTAATGTGGGCCATTGGATAATGGTTCAATAGACATTGTTGAACAACAGCAACAAAAAATGAATGAATAATTGAGTCGATGAGTAAACAGGAACTTAAAGTTTTATTCAACACCCCCTACCATACCACTATATATATGATAGAGGGAGTTCTATGCTTCTATCATAGAACTTAACATACTTTTACTGTCAATACATTTTTTTGTCTGGCCCACAAAATAAATGGGCAAGCCTTTTATGGCAGGAACGGTGTCTTATCGATCAGGGGTACAAAATAGATACTCAAAAATGTATAACCACATTGACATTTCTATTAGAGAACTCCACTGTAAGACAATTTAGGAGTGGCTTTGATCTCCACATAGACATGATTTGGTTCATACGACATTAACTGCTTAATATTTTACAATCTTATAAAATGTTTCAAACATGTATTCACATGAACATTAACTGTGATATGCGAACTATTATAGCACTCAAACCAAACCTAACAGGACAAACCTTGTGTATAATTAATCAAGTAAAACTTAGAATTATGTTTCTGCCTGGTTATGGTCCGATTGCTATTATTCCTTCACCACTTTTCAGAGACAAGGTGCTTCTGCCAAATCTCAAAATGCTGCTGGGGGCTCGTTAATTCTCCAAAATGATCTAGACCCATCCAGTGATTGATCCTCCAGCAGCTCCTGACCTGAATTTTCTATGAAAATGTCCACTGTGTGTCTCATAGCACTGGTCTCCTTGCTGGGAGGCCTGTCACCAACTTCTTAGACTTTGGGTTTAAGAGCAAGTTTTTGTAAAAAGGAAGAAGTCAATTATTGATGTAAAGGTTTCTAAGGGGCTAGGTTTGATCATAGCTGAAAAGGTCCCAGACTGATCGAACAGCCTAATCTATACAGCTCTTCTCAAGTATTAGCGTGCATACCAATCACCGAAGGATCTTGTGCACAGCATCGGATTCTGTAGATCGGAGGCAGAGCCAGGAATCCTGCATTTCTAATAAGCTGCAGGTGGGCGCTGCTGGTGCTGCTCTCCAAGCACCACACTTGGGGTAGAGCAGGTCTAAGGACATGCCACCCCACTGAACCAGAAGGATTGTTCATAAAGTCCTGGGATATTTTTGTTGGAAAGTTCTTTTGAGATCCTCTAATGGGTAGAATTCAGGGCATTCATAACTTGGATAGGAAAGAACAAATTACATTTTTATTTTCTCTAGCTCATGATTGAACTTGAGCAGTTTCCACGGATGATGGATGTAAGCCATGAACCACAACGTGATTAGAAGTGGCTGTGACTTGCTCACCAACAGAAACCACAGATACTTTCAAGTCGCATTAGTGTTGTGGCAGATACCTCAAAGTGCCATCTGCACTTACTGTGACATTGAAATCACAGTAGTTACGGGTTTGTGGTATGTATTTATTTATTTAATGCTTATAAAGACGCACACATTACCATCTCCTAAATTTGCTTTTAAGTGCCTTAATAACTGTATTTCAGTATAATTCATTTTATTTGTAACCCTATTTATTCTTAGAAGAGCCATATGTTTCACGAGGCTGCCAAAGACAGCCATAGCATAGAAGAGGTTAAGAGGCCTCAATCTGACCCAACTCCCGTTTTTGTTCTCTGGGGCACAGAAGATCAGCACAATTTAACCAAAGTCACATACCCAATTGGGAAGCAGAGCAGGGGACAAGGATCTGAATATCAAAATACTCAGGCTAGGATTTTCTTTAAAAAAAAAGATATCATACTGTTCTGAGAAACAAATAAGAAAGAATTACAGAAAGTGTGCTGGAAAAATACAAGTGCTATAAAAAATAAGTTGCGTTATTATTATAGCTTAGTTTCTGATATACTTGAAAATTAAAGTTCGTTCTTCAAAGACCATAGATACGACACAAGGTATCATATTTATTCTAAGTGACTCATTTGAAATGTAGACTGTAAAGAGTGAAGGTTAAAAAATGTAATATCTATGGATTCATTGGTCTTATATTTGAGGCCACAGTTATTCTTTAAAAACAAATTCACCTGAGTAGGGTTAGTGTCCCAAAGCTACTTTCAGAGGCATCTATTGATTTTTCCACAGTAACCGCAGAAGAAATCAGTGGGTAACTGAGATCAATTGTACCAACACAAACGTACATTCACATTCAAGTAAGCATCATCTGTTGTGGGGTATCTTTAAAAGGCCTTTTGGTTGATCTAATTTGATGGTTTCATGAAGATATTTTGGTTAATTTGGTAATTGATTTTAGACACAATTTAAATCCAGACTGAAACGTAATCTCTATCAGTGTCGTTGAAGGCAACTTTGACTCTGTTACAGGTAAAAATCACAGCAAGCCCATGAGTAGTCTGTTATCATTAGATTTCCCCTGGGATTGTAGATCAGAGAGGTTTGAGCAACATTTCTGCACCCTGCATTTTAGAAGGATAATAAATACTAAAGCATTCACACTGTGATTGCAGGGATGTTAAGGTTGACGAGTTAATCACAAAAGCAAGAAATAAACAAAATTCAAATTTTCATAGCAGCAGGATTGCTCTCAATACCATTCTAAACATTATCATAAATAACCTAGAATTCAATGTGGTGTCAAGGATCCAAATACTAAACTGATGAGTCATGGCCTTTTTTTTTCTTGTTTGCTTAGAGAAAGGGCTAACATTTTGATCTTACATGCATACATACGGGGACTACTTGAAAAGTTTGGGAAAAGCAGCTTTTAAGAGTTTCATATCTTTGCTGATATTTTAATTTAGCCCACACTTCTCTCTATACCTCATTTGCCTTCCATCCCCCCCTCCCCTGGCAATTCAGACATGGAAGGGCACAGGTACACTGAGCAGTTTATAATTTCTTAATGGCCATGACATTTGTCTCCTTTTATTTCTCCAGGGATTAGTTTCTATTGAGATGTCTCATTCTTTGCCTTTCTCTTCCCATTTTTCCCCTAAAACATTCAGTGCCTGAAAGTTCTTGGGTGGTGCCCAGCAAGATAAGTCCATGCTAGGACTGGGGGCCCCACAGTGACACAGTGAGGGAGTTGGGTCCCTACCAAGTTAAAGAGGACACCCTCAGTGCAGCAACCAGACAAGGGATGTCACAGCCGAAGGTGGGTAGGGAAGGTATCTGTTCTGAGTGAAGACCAGACAATTCCTTTGATACAGGGAGGCTGACCAAAAAGTAAATACCCCCATTAGAGGAGCCAGGTTTCTCACTATCCATCAGGGGGATTATAAACATGGAAAAGGAGAAAACTAGCATGAACAAAAATTTTTAGTGTTGGGTTAGAAGTAAGTATGTGAATATGAACTCCTGATTTCCAAAATGTACAGACATGAAATATTGCTATAAATGTGTGTATAACATTTATTTTCTTCTTTCTGGTTCTATAAGTTATTTCTGTCTCATTGTGTACTTTTTCTGTCCCAGTCTGAAAAATAGCCATATTCTAGGAAATACTAGCTTCTTGTAGTGGACAGATGAGAGTTGAGTGTGCTTGTTGCTATTGGCATGCCACTGTTTCTAAGCCTAGACAGAGCCATAGGATATATGTAGAATATATGTAGACACAGAGATAGATGATGGTTAGATAGATAGATAGATAGATAGATAGATGATAGGTAGATAGAATCCATGGACTAGAGTAGTTTGAAATTGGTTGTGTCCAAAATGAATTATAGTAATTGTCATTATAATTTTCAAATTGCAATGGGGATTCCTTCTCTAACTCTGAAAATAAATAAAAGTAAAACATTTAAGATGAAGACTCTCCATTCCATCAAAGTCTTGAAGGGTCTTATTGAAACTTAGGGTTTAACATAAACTATAGTGATCATTTATTATTATTATTATTATTAAGATAAAAATGAGTGAGCACCTATTGTATACTGTATAATAGTCATTGAGGATAGAGTAATTAATATTTTCAGTCTTTTGAGAAAATATTAAGAATAATTATTATTTTTTAAATATTTTATTTATTTATTTATTTTAGAGAGGGAAGGGAGGGTGAGAGAGAGAGAGAAACATCAATGTGCGGTTGCTGGGGGTTATGGCCTACAACCCTGGAATGTACCCTGGCTGGGAATCGAACCTGGGACACTCTGGTTCCCAGCCCGCGCTCAATCCACTGAGCTATGCCAGCCAGGGCTAAGAATAATTATAACCAAATGTTATAGAGGATGAGTGCTAAGACAAAGGAAGTAATGAGTGTGGAAGGAAGATAAAGCAAGGGGAGCTGATTCTAAAACCTAAAAGATGGAAAGAGTCAGGCAGAAGAAAAGATATGTATGTGGGATGGAGTGTGAAGAAGAAGTGGGTGTCTTTTCAGCAGAAAAAACATATGGGTGAAGACCCACAGATGGAAAAGAAGGTGAAATATTACAGGAAAAGAAATAGGTCCAGAATGACTGGTGCATTAAGAGTCAGGGAAAGCATTTCTGCCATATGCTTATCCAACCTCTACTTGAACACTTCTAGTGACTAGAAGTTAACTATTTCATAAGACTTCCTTATTATTGGACAACTCAATTTGTCTGATTTTTCTGCTTATAT